GAAAACTCATCGGACAAGATAAGCGAAAAGTTCACCAAGGTCATAGACGCTTTCATGTGTTTGCCCTTGAATATCCCTGGCACAGCATACCACAAATGTTTAAAGGTAATTAAAATAAAATAAAATAAAAGGTACCATCACCTTGAAACCTTTTCTTTTCTTTTCTATATCGAAGGATCAATCAATTTTTATATCTTAACATTCACTGTTCAGGACAAAGATAGCACGCTGAACATATTAAGGAATACACTGAAGGAAAGGGTGAATTCACCAGCCGAATCGCAGCGAGGAGATTTTCTCAATCAAGTCATAGCTGACATGGATAAAGAGAAGTCTTGACTGAGGATTTTATTGTCAATCTGATCTTTGGTATCTTATTCGCCAGCTTTGAGTCGATTTCAGCAGGACTAACACTAGCCCTGAAGTTAATTGGAGATCATCCTTCGGTACTTGAGGAGTTGACAGTAAGTCTGCGCAATTCGTATTAACAAACCTGCTAGTTAACTAGATAAATTTATCCAGACATTTCTGATTATCTTTATCAGGTTGAGCATGAAGCAGTTCTGAAAAGGAGGGAAAATCTGGATTCCCCGCTAACATGGGCTGAGTATAACTCCATGACTTTTACACTTCAGGTCTGTTCTGTAATAACATTATTATTTTTTCTTTTAAGTGAATCTGATTTATTGCAATAATCTTATAAAAATTGATTAATTTTCTGTGAAATCAAAGGTTATCAATGAAACACTTAGGCTGGGAAACGTCGCCCCTGGTTTGCTACGAAGATCATTGCAAGATATACAAGTGAAAGTTAAATATGTTCTCAGTGACATTTAATCTCGTCTTAATTTCTAATTGCGTAATGTTATGATTCAGTTTTTTATGAAATGTGGATTGTATTTCAGGTTATACAATTCCTGCTGGTTGGGTTATCATGGTTGTAAATTCTGCCCTTCATTTAAATCCTACTACATTGAAGGATCCACTTGAGTTCAACCCCTGGAGGTGGAAGGTAAGTCATTCCACAACGAAACAAATTCAAGTGCAAGATGCAAATTATTATTCGTTACACTTACATTTGTTAATGTTCAATGATATGTAGGAATTTGATTCATATGCTGTTTCTAAGAACTTGATGCCTTTCGGTGGAGGAAGGAGACAATGTGCAGGATCAGAATTCACTAAATTGTTAATGGCAATCTTCCTTCACAAATTAGTCACCAAATACAGGTAACTAAGTCTTAGCTTATATATATATTGCTAATGTACAGATACGTTGGATGTAGATTGCTAATGGCTTTCTGAATTTGGATTCTGATAGGTGGAATATAATCAAGCAAGGAAACATTGGTAGAAATCCTATTCTGGGATTTGGAGATGGCATCCACATTAGTTTCTCACCAAAGGACAATCGATCATAGACGTGTTATATTTCAGTATTCAGTGTTGTGGTTAACTATATATACCTTCCATATATACCTTACATGCAAGCAAGATGCTTACAAGTTCAACAAAATATATACGCAATCCTTCCTCTATTGACATGTTTCAACATTAAGTAGTTCCTTTTTTTTCTCAAGGTTCCTGATACAGTCCTTAATGTTCCAATTCCAATAATACTATCCTTCAACTATCAAAGATGTTTAAATCGTACGCTTAATTCACCTTCCTTACCACAGGCCCGGCATCGAGTATATGCCCCTGGCCCTTGGCACTCCTGCTCCTTAGCTTCTAGTTTCTAGCACAGATATTGATTGACTGGTTCTCATGTCTGATTAACATAATTACTCATTTACTTGCTCTAAGTATGCTATTCTTTGGATTTTAGCTTTCTAGTTCTCTCCTCAATTTACATTTTTTATATTCCGCTTTTAATATCACTGGAGCTGTAAATTGTGGTAAATCCCACCGCACCTCGAAACTGCGTACTCCTCAAATTGTCTCCCTTCTATTGGAATCCTACAACCCTCATGTACGATATGGTGCAGCTTTCGCAGTAGGCATTTCCTTTGCTGGCACTGGCTTGGGTGAGGCTATATCGTTGCCAGAACCTTTGACATCAGATGCTATGCTGTAGCTAGATTTCGATGCAATTATTACGATGGAAATGGTCATGGTCCAGATGAATGGAAACATTGATTCTTGCGTTGGAACATTTATTAAATAACCAACTGAATGTAATAAATTAAGCTATTAGATAAAGTTATAAAAAAAATTTGATTTTAAAATTTATATTATTTTATATTTAATTTTATCAAATAAATAAAAATAATGAGATTTAAATTCGTAACCTTTTAATCATGAAAGCTCTAATATCATGTAAAATAATTATATTAATCCAATAACTTAAACTGTTATGTAAAATCTCAAACTATAATTTATATTATTTTCTAATAATATTAGGTATTGCAATACAATATCTTAATCCTTCCTTTTGCCATTTTATATAAAATTAGACCAACTTTCAATGTATTGAAAATGCTAATTTTTTATATGGACACCTCTTATCCAAGAAAAAATAATTGGAAAAGATAATTCTTAAGAGCATGAAAAGGCCATAGGCAAGATGGGAACTATCCTGGCTACAGGGATACTGGATGCTGGTGGAAGGAAGTGACCATAAGATTACTTTCGAAGACAAAACATGATGAAGTTACTGCAGTTGTAACTTGTAAGCAATTTCAGCTTTGACCCAGAAATGTACTCCAAGTCAATGGTTAAATGCCAGAGTGAGCCATTTATTGCTATCAAAAATCAAGGACATGCAGCTGCATGACTTGAGTTTCCTGAGACCAACACGTAAGGGTGTCAAGGCTGTCCTTACACGGGGGCGCCTGACTAATTAAATTCTTACACATTTTTTCAAGTTTGACAAGGAAATCATCTTTGGACCTGAGGCCAATCATGTTTTCTATAGTATAATTAATGTAATGAGTTCTTAATTACTTTGGGAAGAAATTTCTAAAAATCTTTTAGGTGAAAAATCCAAAAAATAATATAAGTTAAAAAAATTACAAATCAATCAACTCATTCTTGTCAACAACAAAAAAAAAATAAAAAGAAAAAAAATTAGATAAGTTAAACAAGTTTTTTTTATTGTGAATTGAATTAGAGTAGATTGGCAATGCAAAAATGATATTGTAAAAACATTTTGGATACACTAAGTTTCTGAATGGATATATTAAAAGAAAAATTTATTTAAAAACACTCAGTATTTTATAACGCAATATTTTATAATATTTTATAATATTATATTATTCATAACTAATAAAATAAAATGATAATTCAAAACTTTTTATCAATAATTAAAATAAAGATAA